TTGCTAGATATCAATGAGTGTCTCAATGGTGCTCTCATCTGTCCTGTTTGCCCTGGTCTCTCCTCTCCTGTTGGTTGCTGTTTTGAGGTATGTTCTCTGCTGGTTTCTTTCATGAATTGGATACCGTCCTCAGCTTTTGATTTGTTTTGCAGTATGTTCTCTGGCCCCTGTACAACAGTACCTTTGGATAGCTATCATTACAGATACCAGCTGTAAGTAATAAATCAGGAGCCCAACCTTTTCATGGGCTCCTGAATGGTTGTACTATGCATCATGCATCCCTTTGCATGTGTACATGTAGTCCCATTCTTTCAAATAAAATTAGAGAGTTTGAGAGTACACCCTTAATTATACATTGTATTATACAAGTAAGTGGTGACCCTTTACATTAGCTACTACACAGTAATATTGTACCATTCCTATACCTGTCATTGCTTGATGCTTCTTCCTTTAGCTTAGGTTTGTCTCTACTTACTGATTCAACAAACGTTTGATCAGGAAGTAACCGAATAATATACTTCACTGTAGTCTGTCTCGATGCCTCAAGTAATATATGATAAAGTGGTTGAAGTGAAAGAAAGGGTTTGTTTGGTGAGAAGTGACTGTCACATGAACCTGCAGTGCACTGTAGTTACCGGGTCTACTGGAGAAAAAGTATTTCATTGTTTATTGTGAGCTACTGTTATTGTTAATAGGTACATGTGTGGGAAGATATATAGATAAGGACCAGTTAGTAAAGGACTTACAATATCTGCTAGAGGAGGGGATTAATAAGTACATGTACCAGAAAATGTAATTTATGAAAATATGGTGGCATGTTTTCTGTTAAAGAATGAATCAATATGTAAATTAACATCATAAATAATGAATAGGTAAACTGTTAAGTGGTAAAAGGTTTTTTCAAATGTAAGTGAAGAGAATGATGAGTTGTTCTTCTGGCCACTGACCCATGACACAGTCTTGCTCTACTTCTTGCTATTACTAAAGATCCTTCTGATCTTCTTCTACCTCTTGTGTCATCAATATGTTCTGTCCTATATAGTGGTATCATAAATGGTTGATGAATTAGAAGTATATCTATTACTTGTCCTTTCTTTTATAATAGTAATAAGCTGCTGTTATTGTACCACGACACAATTCTATCAACCGCCTACAGCAGTGAAGTTCACTAATTGATAAAACTTCATGTTTCTTTTGAAACAACTTCTCCCATTGGTTACTAATATACAACACATACAGTGACAATAATAAAGAGACTTGCAATACCTTCCACCAGTTCCTCCGGGCACAGTGAGCCATAGACCATGTCCATGATTCGATAACAAAAAGTTAAACAAATGAACAAAAATTTTATACAAACGAATTGACTCGACTATTGTTGACCTCCAAATAGTTTTAATTAAATTCTTAATCGATTCTTTTACCGGACTTAATAACTATTGATAACTATAATAACTAGGTTGTAACATTAATTGATTTACTTGTCGCCTTTTCACATTATCTAAAGTTATTAACCAAAAGGTGCCTACATCAGATCTATGTTTCAACCAATCAGCTTGCACCTAGACACGTGTACACTTGTATTATATTCATCAGGTAGTGTACCTCATTAATGATTTTAATGACTTCAGCTTGCTCTTTGCCAGGATAAGAGTATTGGAGAGTATTCAGTGCTAACATAGTCCTTTGGGTCTGCTCCTCTTCGTGCTCCCTAGCTGCCATTGCTTTTAACTCGGGACCCTACACCACACAGTAATGCATTAACAATGATTTAATAATTACCATTGGAGACGAGTCATAAAAAGACAATGGTTGCAGTGTAGGAGAGAACGATCCATGGCACTATTATTTAATATAATTATTAATTAATTAATAATCATTATCATTACTTCAAACCAGTCAACAGCAGTAGGTACACAATTGAATTTCTCTTCAGTCTCATATTGACACAATAACTCAAGCAGTTCTTTTTCTCTCATTTTATCCAAACCTTTGACTATACTGCTGGACTGGTATTGATTCCTACCTATTGATTAATTATTAATTAAGTGAATCATTATTAAATACAACCCATTCACCTGTATAGCCTATTTTAGCTGACTCAGCAAGTACCGTTTCATAAAATATTTGTCTCTCAATATCAAATGATGGATAAATCCTTTGATAATGTCCCTATATTATTGTTATCATCATCATCATCATCATCATCATCATCATCATTACATTTACCATTGATTCTTTCTCGTGTTGCTCCATTTCTCGATTTCTTCTAACCTCAAGCAATCGACTTTTCTATCATTAAATTTTCAATTAAAGTAACAATTAATACCAGCTGCTGGTCTTACCACTTCCTCTCTCTTCCTCTCCAGTAGCAATGCACCTTCTTCATGTTCCTATAGGAACAATACAGCAGTGAAGGACTAGCTGCAGCTCCTACTGATTGCACTTACAGTGACAAAGTCTAAATGTTGTTTCCCTCCTCCTCCTGGTCTTGACGATAAACTTGATTGCAGTAACCTTCTCCTTGAAGCAGCTCTTTGCAATGAAAGCTTTCTTGTTCTGTCTGATGGTCTAATGATTGGGACAGTGTCATACTCAATAAAGAGTAGAGTTTGTATCTACTTGATATTCATTATCTTGATGGCATCAGTAATGACCCCAGTCTTGATGTGATGGTCCAATTTAGTTTCAATACCAAAGCTAGGAGACCTGTTTACCTTCATGAACATAATCAATATTAACAATGATTATTAGTCATTCTACTCACCTCTAGGAGATATGGTTTAAGAGTTTCGTCAATCAATATGTCAAATCCGAGTATTTCAAAGCAATGGCACTTATCAGTGAAACTCAGTCCAGGACGACAAGCTTGGTAGGAATGCTGTAGGTGTGGCTGAGCAGCAATCAACGTCTTGATTATTACATCCTAAGATTATAACAACAATTAATTAATAATGATTGATGGTCTTTCCAATGGTCTTACATGTATCTTGTCCCAGAGTTCGGTGATGTTATGTCCATTTCTCATCAACCAACCATTAAAATATTGTAAAGACCTATGTATATATGTAAACAATAATTATTATTTTAGTTAATAATAATTACCTTTTACTGCCTTTATCAAAGTCTTCATCTTTATTGAAATGTTGACTGTGTTTGTTGATGGAATAGTTAGTTAAATGCATGAACTGCTCTCCCTATTAACAAGAGGAAATAATAAGAGAGTGACGGGAGGGGGCCATCTCAGCTGCTGCCAGTCACGTTCAGTATACTTCTGTATAATGATCATGTTGTTATAACAACACATCTGTATAAACACTGATTGAAAACTACTGAAGTATGCGGAGTGTGACTTCTTAACACCTCTGCCATACTCGCCCCAATTAACGAACCTCTTTGCAGAGTATCACTTCCTAATGCCTCTCTTTCGGTAGTACAGTACTCGCCCCAATTAACGCACCTCTTGATAAAATAATAATGTCTCAGGTGGGCATTGTTTAGATAGGAACAATTATCAAATGGCACCTCTCAAAAATAATCATCTCGACCAGGAGGTGCACCAAATAGAAAGTTTTTATTGTGGAAGCAGTGTAGAGATCCAATAAATAGGAGGGTGCATTAATTGGGGCATTGACTCTTGCTATTAACGTACAGTGTAAGTACATCATTTACAGTATATTTATCAGAAAATGTAATAAAATTCAGGAATTCACTCCCTTTCAATTTTGGAAAAATTTGACAAAAATCCCTGTACTATAGTACATGAACATTTGTCCTATTTTGGAGAAAAGTTTTAAAAATCGTAAAAGCCCAAACTTGATAGGAATCAACTCAAACTTTCTACACAACATGAAAACATGTGTACGTATACATGTAACACATGTGAGGTATACATGTAACACATGTGAGGTATACATGCAACACATGTGGAGTGCATGTGACTCACTATATTGGTATCAGTTGGAGCATTATAAGGTTGGGTTGATAATCTAACCTATAAATAATTAAAATAATTAAATGATTAATAATGAATTAATAGTCATACCAGTCCATCTTTATACACAAATATTCTGAGTGGATTACAAGATGTTACTAGCACATAAACTCTTAAATCAAACTTGAATCCATCCAATAGCAATGGCTGTGAATAATAATGACATTAATTTATTTATCATGAATATCATTCATTAAATCACACCACCTTTTCAATGTACTCTTGAACAATTAGGTTTTCACCCAAAGGAATAGAGTCAAGACTACGTACTAGACTGATCCTACCCAATCACACACAAGTGGTTAAGTACAGCCACACCCCCTCTCCCTCCTTACCCGTTGCCCATTGCTCCGTTTGGTGGTTTCACTATTAGGGTTTTGGACTTTCCCCTTCGTTTGACTTCTCTCATATAGTGGCTCAATGCACCATGTTCTGATGGTAGTATCCATGTCATAGGTATTATTGAATATTCTTCATTATTGAAGATTCGTAACCTGCACCATATGATATTGCTAATCAGTATTATTGTATTATACTTTTGAATATTTCTTGCCAAGGAATCTTTTCTACAAATTTCCCCCATACCAGGAAAATGATTAAGAATCTACAACAATAAATACTAATAATGATAATAATAATAGTCATTACTTGGTATGGCTTTAATTGCATATATTTATCCAAAGGTATGGCAGTATCAATCCACACAAGATCACTAAACAACAACAATAATAACAATAACAACAATAACAATAATAACAACAGACCAGTCTGTGTCTTCTTCATTATCAACAACGACCATCCCTAATAATTCTGCCACTTGTTTAACTATTAATTAAATAACACGTTAGCTATCATTAGCTCATATCAGCACTCACACTCCAAGTCTCTTACCTACAGTGTATCTGGTACCGCTCACATTGAACCTAACAGCAGGAAAGACTGTGCTAGGACTCACAGCAGCTAAAGCAGCAGCCATTGGAGCTGGAGGTGGTTTGGTCTACAGTTAGGGGAAGGGGAAGGGTAAAGGGTGAGGTAGTGCGGGTTAAGCAGGTGCTCCTGCATATAACGAGAGCTTGGGGCCGGACTCCAATGAAAGAAAGGACAGTATTAAAAGAGGATACTCTCTACAGTACTGGTGATATGAAGCTTTATATGAAAACAACTGCAGAAGAAATTCATACTCAGAGCTCGCATCCGCAGTTAGACAGTTTGTAGGAGGGGCCAACAGAAATGCTACCACACCCACCAATTATACTGAGCGTGCTCGGTAGTCAACTAGTCAAGTAATAAGTATGGGAATTGGGAAAATGAAACTAAAAATTATTATTATTATCAATGAAATTAAAAGTGACTGAACACACACAATGATATAACGTTACACCAAAGATAATGGTTAAACTTGCAATAAGTTAAGTGGAATACCGAATTCCTTCATAAGTTCAATGAGTTCATCATCAGCTCCTTCAAGGAGCTCATCAGCTGGTCCAGTCCTGCTGGCAGCTGATGGTTCAGTATCAGGAGAAGGAGGAGGGTCAGTGGGATCAGTCCTACTGAATATAATCCGGATGAGTGGGTGGACCCCTGGTTCATTAGGGAGTAGACCGGTGCTCCTGTAGACCTTGTCAGGGTTCCACCTGTACTGACTGAAGACCCCAAGGACAGTGGACACTGCTACCGAGCGACAACAAAACCAACCCAAGTGGTCACGGGATTTCCTTTCAGGAGGAGTCCGTGCAGAGAGAGTAGATAATATTTGATAATTGACGTCCCCATTGATTCTAATGCCACTATTATTGATGAAGACTTCAGCTGTGCAGTAGCTGGACACTACTGGTTTGGTATGGTGGAGACCAGTGACTGCTTTAAAAGCAGTGAACCATTCATTCAATGTCTCACTGCTTTCAGTTGACAGATAATAGACTTTCTTATTAGCTTTCACACCAACTATAGCCATACAGTGTCCTCTGCCTGAGTGATCCCCTACTTTAGACACGTCCTCGACCAGAGACAAGTTGATGGAGCCGAGGCAGTTAGTGTCTTCTTTCTTCTGATAATAGAACAAGGTATCGGCTCTGAGGACAAACCACCTCAACTGCCACTTGTTCCTGGCTGCCCCTCCTTCTTTATAGAGCCATCCTTCTTTAACTGGACGAGTAGTAGCCATTTTCTTGTGAAAATTGTGAATGTTAAATTGTTAATGTTCTTTCCCAACTACTGTCTGGGCATTAATTAGAAATGTGGAGTAGATGCCCGCCCACTTAATGAGTAGGTGTGGTTTATTAGCTGAAGTTGCTGAGCTGATTCATTAGTGTGTGTCTGGTTGATGTGAATGTACTTTAGTCCGATACCGTCCCAGTTTACCTGATACTGATCTTATCTCTCCATTATTACTGACACTCTCTTACTGTAGGGGCCACAGCTGATGATATGGACTGGCCCCTCTTTATTAAAGTATTGACAATATTCCTGGCTACAACTTGTGGTGAGTATCATTATAATGTTGTTATTATTATATAAATGTTGTTTTACATTATTTTGAAGATTATTCTACTAGTGAAATTATATTATTGTTGTGTTCTGGAATGTTACATTGTTGACACAGCAACACAACTTTGTACAGTTAGTCTGTATACATGTACATGTACAGTGATATCAATACAGTAGTGTAGTGGCAGTGCATGTGTTGCATCATGACACTGTATCCTGTTACCATCCTAATTTGTACATTGACCAAACTAGGTCTCTCCTTCATACTTGCCATTAGCAGATATTACTGATACTTCCCTTTCTCTCTCTCTCTCTCCCACTGTTCCCTGTTCATTCTCTGGTTTATGTTTGTATTCATTGTAATTATGATGGTTGATTCATTTCAAAGAAAATTAGTAAATTGTTAATAATTGTTATCATTATTTTACTGTGTAGGAGTCCGTTCACAGACCCTCTCCTCTCCTGATGGTCTGATCCTCTCTGATGTAGTCACAGCTGCTGCTGGTCTGTCCGACCTCTTGATTGAAGTAAACTGCTCCTCCTCTGGTGAGTCTCCATTATGGCTGACAGCTGATGGAGACCCTGTCTCCTCTCCTTTAAGCACATTTGGAATAACACAAGACAATGAAGGACTATTGAGAGTCTACCCTGGAACTGAAGTACTGAAGGATGATACTAATACTTATAACTGCTCTCTTAATAATGGGTACAGTAGTATCATCAGGTTTAATACAGGTTGGCCTATCATTGTGTGGTGTAAAGTTATCATTGATTCATTTGTAGTTGAGAGTATGTTCTATACTAACGTGACATTAAGGAATGGCTCATTGTACTGTCCATTACCTGATTATCCACTCAGCAGTTCATTAATTAATGAGTCTTTATCAATTGATGACATTAATTACCTTTATTGCAATGCTACAACTGAGAGGGGATCCTTCATTAGTCAATTTATTTCCATCAATGAAGGTAATCCATTATCATCATCATGATCATCATTATTATTATTATTATTATTATTGTAATTAGTTGTTCCAACATATATAATACAGCCAGTTGATGTACATGTACCTGTCAATGGCACAGCTGCTTTTTCATGTTCAATATCGCCAGACTCTGCCCTAATTAACATTACCTGGTACTCCAGTGAAGGAATGGTGGCTTCTGAAGATGTCATTAATGATTTCAATGACCCAGGCCTGAGTGTACTCGTTATAAATAATGTGACGGAATCTGAAGGAGGCGTGGCCTATTATTGTGTAGCTTATTTTAAAGACAGGGCTGAGCCTGTACGGAGCAATAATGCCTCATTATTAATTAACGGTTAGTTATTATTAATAATATTAATTAATTGATAATTTATTATCCAGATTTAGTTATTTCTACATTTATTCTGACGCCTCCAGTAAATCTCAGTATACTAGAGTTTACTAATGTTTCCATTCCCTGTATACCAAACGAAATGTTCACTGTGACATGGTCAAGTACAGGAGCACCTGCTACTAACATTACAGACGAGTCTATTAATATTATTAATATTAATAGAAACAACAGCGGTATTTATTACTGTACAGCCTCTAATGGAGACACAGCAGCTGTTAGTGTTAATGTATTATGTGAGTTATTAACTTATTATTATTATTATTATTATTATTTATATTCAATTATATTCATAGTTGCTCCTGAGTTTATTAGTCAAATTGAAAGTGAAACTATTCTACCAGTTGGTGATAGTGTTGTATTGTCATGTACTGTCACTGGTAGCCCCGCCCCTATGATAAGATGGTATAGAGATGGATCAATTATGAATGATGGCATAGCCACTGCAACTGAAGGATTGATCATCCAATCAAATCTAACATTAGCTAACCTACAACAGAACCAGACTGGAGTATATCAGTGTGTATTTGTATCTCCTGGTGTTGGGGGTGTGGCTTACTTTAATAGTATCGTATCATCAACCTACTTACTAGTTCAATGTAAGTATATACCATTAACATGATAATAATAATAATAATAATAATAATAATGTATAATAGTAGTATAATAGTAACTGATAGTTTGAACTGATTCCAATCAAAATTGAATTTTTAAAGTTTCTCAAGTAAATCAGACAAAAGTCACTGTATTTGGTCATGGGCCAAATTTTGCCAGAAATGAAAAGGAGAGAATTCTCCATTTTTATAACATTTTCTGATGCATTATACATGTACTATGTTATTTTTTAGTTATTGGGGTTCCAACAATCAGTCCAATATTACAGGACCCAGTTAATCCATTGTTGCCTCAAGTATTAACTTTTAATTGCACTGTTGACGGACGTCCTCTTGTTAATATCACGTGGGATGTTGGCTCCACCCCTTTCTTATCCATTAGTCAACCTCCAGTGGATTTTATTGGACCTGCTCTCTCTACTATTCAAATAAATTCATCACTTCTTGCTGGTACTGTACCTATCAGTTGCTATGGTAACGACACTGTTAATGCGACCGCTATTATCAATGCTTTCAGTAAGTTCTTTGAATGTCATCAGATAGAGCTCTCACTCTCTCCCTCTCATCAGGTCCAGTGTCTATAGTCCAGGATCCTCTGTCCCCTCCCATTATTGTACTGAGAGGAGATACTGTCTCATTCTCATGTCTAGCATCTTCCATTCCAGTACCAAACATAACCTGGTTCAGGAATGACTCCAGTGGTCCAGTTTCATTATTTGATGATACAGAAAGTGTTGTTTCTATTATTAGCACATCAACTGATGGTCTTACTACCAATAGCACATTGACTATAACACTGGAGTCCGATGGAGAGTACTTCTGTTTTGCCAGTAATGACTTCTTTAATGATACTAGTGAACCTGCTACTGTATTAAGAGGATGTGAGTTAGTTAGTTGTTTATTTATTTATTTATTTGTTTGTTTGTTTGCAGTTATTCCTGTCATTATTACTAACCCTAGTGCTCCTCCAGTGGTTATTAATAGTTCTATTATTATAAATTGTACATCTGAGGGATTCCCTCTTCCAGCCATCAGCTGGTTGATTAATGAGACTAATTTAACTGGTGTCGATGAATTCACAGTAAATACTGAAATGATGTCAGCAAATAGAAGTGTCTCAACATTGTCTGGTAACATAAACAATAATAACACAAGACTGGTCTGTGTAGCGTCAAATATATTTAATGATTCCGTGAGAAGTGAAGAAATAGTTCAACTTATATCAGGTACAGGTACATGTATTATTATTATTATTATTTATTAATCACTATAGGCCCTCCATTGTCTCCTTCCAATAGCACAATAGACCCAATGGCGAGGAGTGTCTCTATACAATGGACTCCTCCTTTCTCTTTATTACCAATCAGTTCTTATAGCCTCTCATTATCAACTGGTACCACTTTCAACATCATTAATAATGAAAGCCTCATTATTATTATCAACGGGACTCACATCAGCCCCTTCACTAATTATTCATTTTCATTGACTGCCACCAACCCAGCCGGAACCAGTCCACCTGCTACATTCTCATTTGAATCATTACAAGATGGTCAGTAGTATACTCTTGTATATTCTTGTATATTCTTGTATATTATAGTCCCAGTTGGGTCTCCTACTATTGTCAGTGTATTCTCGACTAGTAACGACTCACTGAGTGTCAGCTGGAGTGAAATACCACCTGAAGAAACGAACGGTCCAATTATTAATTATACCATTCAGTTTAAAATTAACAATAATGATAATCAGGACATGTTTCAAACTGTTAACACAACTCAACTGCAAGTAAGTTATAATTATTATTATTAATTATTATTAATTGATTAGTTTACATTAACTGGTTTATCTGGCGGTACAGAATACATCATACAGGTGGCAGGTAATACTGTTATTGGGCATGGCCCATTCAGTAATAATGTTACCCAGTCTACTGTTAATAATCGTAAGCTAATTAATATTCATAGTATTTAGTTAATTAATTATATATAGCCCCACCCATTGCTAACGAGACTATAATGACTGTATCTCAATCCATTACTGCTAATACTGTCCCGATCCTAATACCAGAGAATATCAATAGGGGTGGAGCTGTATTGTAAGTAAACCACACCCACTTAAACCACACCTACTCCCTCCTTTAGCCTTATATGGGTGGTAGTTGTTAAACTCAATGGCTCGTTAACTAATCAATTATTCTCTTCCAGTGGTCCCACTGTCAGTCCAGACGTGTTTTATAGAAATAATGACTCGTTTATATCATCAGTGAGTCATCATCACCATTATCAATTACTTGTTACTATTATCAATAGGTGGATACTCCAGTGATACCAGCTGGTAGACCTTACATTGCTGCTGAGCTATTGCTCAGTTCACTGACATTACCTCATCAGTTCATTATTGGGGACAATGACAATACTGGCAATCTACAGCCTGGCCGATACTCCAACCCTCCACTGGCAGCTGCTACCAGTTACACTTACTTCATTAGAGCATTCCCCCCAGCTCCTCCCTCTAACAGCAATGTAAGCATATTTATACTGTCATCATCATCATCATCATCATCATTATTATTATTATTATTATTTATTTATTTATTTATTATTCATTTATTTATTTATTAGGTTAGGAGTAAGAGAGAGACGGGGGCTCCTCAGTTTAGTGTGTTCTCCTCCACTCGGTTCAGTGATCCTGTGGATACTCTGAGAGAAGCTGAACCAACTCCCGTTGACAGTAATACTGTATAATAGTATAATGGCCTGTTGTTATTACTGGTTTGACAGGTTTATCCAGTGGTGCTATTGCAGGGATTGTAGTATCATTGTTAATTCTTGTTACTCTTCTCGTGTTTGTTGCTCTCATTGCGGCTTTTGTGTTTGTGAGACCTAAAGCAACCAGTAACATACCCCCAGCCGCCAGGAGAGGGTCAATGAGACTCACTGAGAGCCAAAAGGTACTCTCAATTACATGTACATGCAGCACCTAATCACCTAATGACCTATTCATGTACATGTACGTGTATTATATTATATTGTATGTACAGTGTGCATGTGTTGTGTGTGGTGCATGTGTTTGATTGAGTTATTGTTTTTAGTTATTGTCTGTGACAGGCAGTTCACAGATCGAAGCTCACCATCAGGTCTGTTGGTGTGTCATATACTATTAATGCACTTTATACATGATAATACTAGTCCTGACTCTAATCCACTCCAATACTAATTTAATATTAAGAGTACAATGTACATTAGCTAGACAATAAGAATAATTTATAGCAATGGTTTTCCCAAAAATGGCTCCAAAATCACCCCACATTTTTATTACATTTGCTGATACATGTTGATGTCCTTATGCTCTGTAGAAAGTTTGAGCTAATTCTGACTTTAAATTTTCATCTGTGTACATGACCATAGCCACAGTGTTTATACAACCTTATCTCTCATTGTCTCTTGTGTAAACAGATCTCCCTCCCACTACAACTGTAACTATACAGTATATACTGTACATGATTGTTACTGTCTGTAGGTTTCTTTGGTGAATGATCTGAAGAAGGTACCTGCAGCTGATATTCCTGAGCTGACACCATCAGATCAGCGTCAATCAATATCAGTGTCAATGTTTCCTGATTACGTTAAAAGGTTGCATGCCAACACTGACCATCTCTTCTCTGAGGAGTATGAGCTGATCACAATCAAATCACCATCACTGCCTCATGAGGCATCTCAACAAACTTGCAACATTGAGAAGAACAGATATGGGAATATTAATAGCTGTTAGTTGTTTGTTAGTTATTATTAGTTAATGTTGTTGTCCTAATAGTTGATGAAACTAGAGTTGTATTGACAAAAATACCAGGAATAGAAGGATCCGATTATATTAACGCTAATTATATTGATGTAAGATAATGGTCATTAATTATTATTATTATTATTATTATTATTATTAATAGGGTTATGGTTCACGTGATACCTACATTGCCTGTCAAGGTCCATTAGCAGAGACCAGTCCTGATTTTTGGCGAATGATTTGGGAACAAAAGACCAGCTGTATAGTAATGCTAACGAATTGTGTGGAGAAAGGACGAGTATGTGTCAAATACTCTACATTATTATTATTATTATTATTATTATTATTAATATTATCATTATTATTATTATCATTATTATTATTATTATTATTATTATTATTATTATTATTATTATTATTATTATTATTATCATTATCATCATTATCATTAGCCAAAGTGTCACCAGTATTGGCCCCAGACTGGCAGCACTACCTTTGGAGAGTTGACTGTTACCATCATTGACCAGCAGGTATTAGCCTACTACACCATAAGGACCTTCAAAATAAACAACAAGGTACTCTTTGTTTACATGTTTGTTTGTGTCTTGTTTATATAAACATTGTTATCAAAAGGATGATGAATCTTTTGAAGTGAAACAGTTCCACTACACTGCCTGGCCTGACTTTGGTGTCCCTGACCATCCCAATCCAATAATATCCTTCATAAGGCGAGTCAACAACTCCACCCACACTGGACCCCTTGTAGTCCACTGCAGGTAATACCAGCCCCTCATTAATTACCATCACTGTACCTACTTGTACCAGTTCTGTTATGATGTGACCCAAATCACTGGGTTGCAATTGATACAGTGCATGATGTGTCGATTAATTATTTATTATCCGTTAGTGCTGGAGTGGGTAGATCAGGAACGTTCATAGCTATACAGTCCATGATGCTAATGATGGAAACTGAAGGGAAAGTTGACGTATTTAACTTTGTACTGGACATGAGACATAAGAGAAACTATATGGTCCAAACTGAAGTGAGATATATTAACTTATTATCATTTATTATCATCATTCATTATTCAGGCCCAGTATATGTTTGTTCATGATTCGTTGGTTGAATTAATTAAAGTTGGTAACTCTGAACAAACTGTACAGAACTTTCCTAAAGAAGCTAAGATACTGTTAACAACACAAGAAGATAATAATATTGAGGATGCGGTTTCCGTGGTAACTGCTTTATCTCCATTACCTAAACAATTTGAAGTAATTAATTAATTTATTAATTATTAATTAATTGTTGGTCGTCATAGAAACTGAATTCAATTGACGTTGCTATACCGAGTCAGTACATATCAGCCTCACTCCCAGTGAACAGAGCTAAGAACAGATACCCTGACATACTGCCATGTGAGTACATGTGACTACTCTGATCTGATTGGTCGGTTTCTTTATATACACAGATGAGTCGTATAGGGTGAGACTCCTGATGCTTCCTGGAGTCAGTGGGTCGGATTACATCAATGCCAGCTATGTTGATGTACGTTAGTTATTAATGGTTATTAGTAGTTATTAATGGTTATCAATGGTTCATTAATAGGGGTATTTAAGGTGTAATCAGTTCATAATGACTCAGGGCCCATTGAGTAATACTGTTGATGACTTCTGGAGGATGATATGGGAGCACAGAGTGTCAGCAATAGTGATGCTTTGTGGACTAGTGGAGGATGGAAAGGTGCTATACATGTATATAGACTGTATTCATTTATAAGTACATAATGCATGTACATGTGCTTATGTTGTGCAGAAAGTTTGAGCTGATTCCGATCAACATTGTCAATGATTGTTATTAACATTAGGATCAATCTGTCCAGTATTGGCCCAAGGACCAGTTGACTCAGTATGGTGACATGTTCATTGAGACAATCAGTGAGACTGATACTGGCTTCTATGTGATTAGGGAAATTACCATCACACACACCAAGGTATTGTTGATGACTATTAATAACTAGTTAGCCCCTCCTATTCCAGCAAGGTAATGAAGTCCGGAACATTAAGCAGTTCCATTATACTGACTGGTCTGAGAATAAGACTCCGCCCACCACCGGAGCACTGATGGATATGATAGTGTTAGTACAGAAAGCACATCACCTGTTTGGAGGAGGACCTGTGGTTGTTCATGACAGGTAAGTGAATATTAACAATATTAGTAATTTATTATTATTATCGTGTCCCAGTTCCAGTGTTGGTAGATCTGGTACATTCTGTATCATTAACATTGTTATTGAGAGACTCAAAGTTGAAGGGATGATTGATATATTCTTTACTATCCATGCCCTCAGGCGGAAGCACCCCGGGATTGTGGCTAACTATGTGAGTATATTTTGATAACCTGAACAGTAGACTAATGTATTGTTCTATCATCTTAGGATCAGTTCAAGTTCTGCTATCAAACTATTGTGGAATATTTGGAGTCCTTCGACAAATATGCTAATTTTGACTAACTATCTATTATTATTTATTAATTACGAGTGAGTTGGTGTCATTTGTTATAGTTTTTAGTCCTTTCTGTGATACATTTCATTTGATTTGTTTTTAATTTGATTTTAAGAACAAAAACTCATTTTAAATTTTGTGATTATTTATTCCAATCAAAATAATAATCTTTTAAAGTCAATTAATAAAATTAATTATTGCAACGGAGAAAACGAGTTTGGGCGGAGAATCCTAGCCTCCATGTGACGTATTAATGGAACTATTAATTAATTAATTAATGTTAATTAATCAATCAATTAATTAATTACCTGTTTCACGGACACATTGATCCCAACCAGGCTCCTGCCAAGCCTGTTGCCTTGTATCTCGTCTGTCGACCAAATTCTCATAACCTAATTAATAATTATTAATCAATAACAATTAACGTTATTAATTACCCCATAAATGATGGACAACATGCATTTCTCCAATTTGTGAGAACCAGCCGCCCACAGCCTCTCTCTTGTCTCTGAACTTCAGCCCCTGCCTCCTGTTTTCAATAAAATAATTAATGCAGAATCAGAATCAGCTCAGAATTTCTATATAGCATGCATGTAAAAACATCGAAAAACATTTTTATAATGGAGAATTTCTCTTTTTCAATTGTGGCAACATTGCCAAAATTCTTTTTGGTTTTTCGAGTTACAGCCATTTTAAGAAAATGTCAAAAATCTGAAAAATACCCAAGGCTATAGTCCATGGTTTTTTCCAAAAAATGGCTAAAAAATCACTCCCAATTTTTATTACACTTTCTGATACATATTGATGTCCTTATGCTGTGTATAAAGTTTGAGCTGATTCTGACTTCAATTTTTAAAGTTACGGCCATTTTAAGAACACAACATTAGTACAATGGTATAATACTAACCATTCATGGCCCCATTCAATAGTAGTTCCAGCCTAACGTATAATAATAATTCAATTAGTTATTAATTAGTGGGGGCCCTCCCTACCTTTAGAGTGTATGTTCTCATTTCATATAATCCTCTTTTAGTCTCTGACTCTAGTCCAGCTGGGTCCCAGAATGTAAAAGCAACGAGAACCTGAGAACTTCTAGAGTAGATCTGATTGGCTAGTTTATTATGACTGTAATCCTGCCATTCCTAGTATTAATCATCATCATCATCATCATTATCTACTCTTGTTATTATTCTACTGTGCCAAATTTTAATTGACCAATCAGATTGCAGAATACCAGGTTTCTAAATCTATTAGATACACCAAGGTAGAGGTTACTATGGTACTCATTAACTGAGAGACCCAGTCGATAGGTTAATAAAGACCATAGGAACCGATAGATGTAAATCGGTAGTCAAGCTTTGTAGCATGTAAGTACATGAAAATGAGTTTCCTGAGCCTAAGTTTACTAAGGAGAGTCTTCCTCCAGTTTTAAAAATGCATTATTTTTGTTAAAAAGGATTTTGCTAACTAATGCTAACTAAATGGCCTTATCAATGTCGGGCCTCGGACCTTTGGCCTCTCAGTGTGATTAAATACCACAGATATTTCACCTCCCCTTGTTGTATCAGCGGCACAAGGGCGGCACAAAATAAACTGCCAGCAGCAGCTGGGTTTACTTAGCAACAGTTACCCTTACAAAACACAGGCCCTGGGGATTTACTGATTAACAGAAATCTGATTGACACAACTAGAAGTATTATTACTTTATCTTCCTTGAGGCAAGTCCACACTTTGTCCATAGTCTCATACCCATCTTTGTAGCGCCACAGGTGCACTTTAATTAGAACAAGTAACACTACATCAAATGGTGTGTTGTTAGTGTCTTACGTGTTTGATCAACATTCAGTCCAACTTGAACCGTCCAACTGCCGATGAGGTCCACTGGAATAGAAGATGAACTGTTTAGCCTGGTATACTGGTCCTCACTAATTTTTAAAGTCATTAATAAATAAATAAATGATAATAATACTAACGTCAGTGACAAATAATCCTTCATGTGTTCTGGTTTCACATTATGAACTGGAGAACAAAATGAATGAGAGAGAGTTTCATCAAGTGGTGAGGATTTACCTTGTAGTTCATAGACTGGAGCTGAAGTACCTCCTAATACTTTACTCTGTGATCCTTTCCCTCCTTCCCTGCTGGAGCCGAAGAATGAACGAGAGAGAACTCTTTTAGAACCAGCAAACAATAGTCTACCGTATCTGCTGAGAGCAGCCATTGTGATACCCTTGATGGTATGTGGGCGTTCAACTTCACAACTTGGAGGTGTGGCTGCACGTGAGCTCACTGAGCTGCTTCAATGGAAGTACATGTAACTGGTAAACAATTCATTTTGTTGTTGTTGTTGTTATTTTTGTTTGTGTTTAGATGTTCAAAGGTTTGAATTAGAATTAGAGTTTGTCCAGTCATTGGCTAATCCACAGTATCTCACCTGTGAGTCTTATTAAGTTATTAATTATTGTTGTTCTGTTAATTACAGTCCTAGGGCAGAGAGGGTATTTTAAAGAGAAGACATTTGTTAATTATTTGAAGTATTTACAATACTGGAAGACAAAAGAATACAGCCATTTTCTAAAGTATGAAATGACACTATGTTATTGATCACAACCCAGCTTTATAAGTGAAACTTAAATTGTACTATTATTATTATTATAGATACCCACAGTGCCTCCATTTTCTTGATTTGTTACAATCTGAACATTTCCGTCGTGAGCTCTCCAACGCCCAGTGTTCAAAGTTTATTGAAGAACAGCAACTGCTCCACTGGCACTTGTACACTAAGAAAAGGATGCAACACCACATTAGTAAGACAGTGTACCTATTGTGTATTGTTTATTTATTGTTGTTTATTATTGATAGTGGCTGAAAAACAATCCAGCAATCAAACTGTCAAGCAACAACCTCTTAAAAATCAATAATTTAATTAATTAACTCGTTAATATTCATGAGCAGTTCTGAGCATGCTCAGACGGCTCAGATTGAAAACAAAATGGCGACTATAGCAACAAGAAGGTTCCTAATAGCTGGGCAGTGTCTGCTCCGCCGCCCATACTCTACAGCAGAAGGGCTCCCATTAACCTTTGCTTCTCCAAGACAGGTATACGGACTCTCTTTTTTTAGCCATTCCTCTCTTCATGGCTTTCCTAATATACATCTTGTTTCTCTGCATCTTTCTCATCTCTTCTCCTCTATACATGACTCTATCTTCTACATGTGTCCTATCCTAAACCCTCTCCTCCATCTCTCCCTCTCTCTTTAAAGGCTTTTTATCACAATGTCAATGTTCGTCAAGTAGACGTGTCCTCTACCAATGGTAGTTTTGGTATTCTTCCAAGTCACGTCCCAGCCATTGCTGTCCTCAAGCCAGGACTGGTTAATGTTTATGAGAATGAGTCAACTACTGCTAAGTACTTTGGTAGGTGGGGCTCATTAATTATTCATTAGTGGGTGTGCTTTGTTTTAATTAGTTAGCAGTGGCTCTGTAACCATTAATGCTGACAGTTCGGTTCAGATACTAGCAGAAGAAGCTTATCCACTTGACCAGTTTGATATTGGAGTAAGGACTATTAGTATTAGTACTTGTTATTG